TCTTCAACTAATAAAATAGGACAAGAGGCCTCGTTATAAATAAAAAGCATCAAAACCATTATGCTGCTGTCATCTGACCTTCATGATGGGCTACTTTTAACATTGATTTCATTAATTTATTATCAGTATAAATCTATTTCTTGCAATTGGGGAGGGGAACTGTGCCTTTTTTATTTATAGTAAAGACTTCTCATAATCATGTCATTAAAAATAGCTTCATGAATGGACAGCAGTACAGAATATAATATGGTGCAGTCTAGGTTAGGGGTCATCAACAGATTATCTCCAGATTATGTGGATTATGTGATTACCCCCATGAAATGTGGGTGTGTTACAAATTAAAAATTAATCAGATTTTACAAAAACTATTATTAAGTCAAGATAACAACTGTTGGCTTACATGTATTTAAGTCATGATGCATTTTAGTGTGGATTTTATAATTAATAACAGTGAAGTGCAAAAAGACTAGTAACAAACTCTTAAACTTAGTTGAAAAGATTTTATACGGAATGTACCATGTAGTCTTTGTGGAAGAGTTTTTGTTACTCAGTTCTTTTCCAAATGAATTTCAAATATGTCTTTATCTTGACCACTTTCCCCTCCTCCAGCATTCCTCCAGCAGTTTTAACAAAGCCAACTTCATTTGCATTTGGCAAGTTAGCATCTTGTTCTTCCTGGAATATAGCGCAGAAAATGGCCCATGCATTCCCTCAGCAGTATAAAATTCAGCCCAACGGGTCAAAACTGTAGCAAGGGGAAAGGAGGACTCCTCTAGATTTTCCTTCGGGAGCCAAAATGCCCCTTCCAATAGATCTCATGCTCTGACCAGAGGAAGCGATTCCCGTCCACAGTAATCTCTGCGAAAAGCTGGCACGAAAGCAGTCCTGCCCTCCAGCAGGCCTTTCTTTAGGCAATTGCAAAACCCACTCATCTCTCCCACAAAAAAGGTGTGTTATTTCACTAAATGGAGGCAGGCAGGAAAGGAACACCTCTGCATTTCTTGGAAAGAAACAACTTCAGAAAAATGTGGGGAAGATACTGCACTGTGCTGGCATCTCACAATCCACATGTGTAGACACTGAAATCCTTCCTATGACTATCACACAACAAAAGCTACCCTTTGACTGCGGGACTAGAAAACCAATCAAAACACCCATGAACTTTAATCTGAAATTTGCTTGCGCTCTTTACCAGGAACATGCTCCACATTACGAAGGCATTGCTAGTATCACTTCTTTAGAAAGGATGTAAGTGGGCCATTGTTGCTCTGAATGCACACTGCGGAAACCCAGCCCATTAGGGAGACTAAATTACAGCGCTGCCCTAGAAATAAAAGGTCAAATTTAGTTCAGTCAAATTCACCTTAAAACAAAAGCAAAATCAATAGAACCAGTCAGAAAAGCAAGGAAAATGGGATGAGACACAAACTATATGAAAATACTATCCTTCTGTTCTTAGTCATTAAATACTCCATGTAAAAGGAACCGTATTTCTCCTGCCCAAAATATTGGCCTTCCATAATCTGTAGGTTAGCAAGGTTAATACAGAAACATGTTAATGGATCATGATGGAGATGATCTGAAAGCTCTCTGCTCACCTTTAACATCTATTTGTATTTCACCTATTTGCAGTTTAGGATTTCATTATTTGTAATGCCATCTAATGAATTTTTACATATCTGCCCATTGACGTTTCTATCTGTTATTTTTTCTAATTTGCATACTGCCTATGTTTTTGGCAAAAAAACTTCCATGTTTCTGGATGTGCTCATTACAAAGTGCTCTGGCAAAGATGAGGGCTGTTGAAGCAACCTTGGAACTTCTGGGAGAGACTGAAACATCTCTGTGCTTTGAGAGTATCACAGATGATTCGGGATGCATTTGCTCCCCTAGTAGTCTGGCAACAGTAAGTCATGTTGGTAACATAGTGAAGATATCCTAAATTATTTGTCCATTATTATTCTCAATCCTGCAAAATACTGAAGGCCCTCAACTCTCGTTGACTCATGGCCTTGCAAAAATCAGGCTGCAACTTTCTAGTTATTTAAGCTTGGAAGTCTTCTGTAGATTTTAATGAGTTAGAACCTTTAATCTGCAGCGTAGTAAGCTGCCTTGAGATGTTCAAGTATATGCCATCAGCTCTCAGATACTCCTATATTATTTCAGATTACCAGTACCTTAGTGGATATATGCAGAATCTTTCAGGATTGCATCTTTGCACATAAAAACTCTAAGGGCCTGGCCCTTATTGCTGTATTAGTGTTCTTATATGTTTTAGCTTTTACTGAGAGAAAGGCAGTCATATATTTTGCCATTATTAAATAGTAGTAACTAGAAATAAATCATCATCATGTATAAAAAATTCTATCATCTCATTTTGTTGCTTTGTTGATTAGGTTTTTTTATTAAAAGGAAAAATATTGGTAGACTTCCTCTGTGATACTTTAATTGTGACTGCGGATAGGATTACTGATACCATTTCATGGCACTAGCATATATGTCTCCAGGATTTATTACTCAGTTCATGTCTGCTCTTTTATGGATTTATTCCAAGAGATGCTTGAACACCGAGCTCTTGGAATGTCTCCCTTGTGGTGGTTCAACTGCACTGAGCTGCATCAGCAAATAGCACCGACACTCACTAAGGCAGCAACTGTTACATTCCAGCATAGTTTGATTTACTGCAGAATTTTTATAGATATATTCTGCTGTAACCCTTTAATATCCCTTGCTTAACATAACCCAGGTCTAAAAATCAGTTTAATGGAGTTTAAAAGACTCTGGTATTTGGAATTTTACCTTGCAAATATGATAAATATCAGCACTAGTATGGTCCGTTGTGTGAAGAAAAATCCAGTTACTTTTTTTTTAATGTCATGCCTAACCAGTTACAGAAAAATGGTAAACAAATCAATGTTAACTATGGAAATAATTGTAAAGATACTTTAAAGCAGTTAAAATCAAAGATCATTTCTAGAAGGTGAGGCATAGACCTGTACACAACTGTGCATGCATATCTGCATATTCAGTTACAGTGGTGAATTGTGGAAATCAAATAACATTAAGTTAGCCTGCAGTATGCATAATGGTACTTATGAGTGAAAATTTGGGTGTGGAATCATGGAAACGTCATTAAATATTTGGCTCTAGGCTTTACACTGGTATGTCAACATCCAGTGAATGAAAAGAAGGTTAAAGGATGGGGTCAGCATACAGCTAGTTCACTAATCAGCCACTGGCCTCTTACCAAAAACAGCATTCAAATCTCATTAAACTGCTCTTTATCTAGTGGAGGAAGAATGTACATCAGCTGCCTTCATTGAAAGACAAATGGCATGCAAGTGTTAGGGCTCTTACTGCTCTCAGGGATAAAAAGAGAAGAGGGAAAATGCACAGATAGCATCTGCCGGGTATTATTTTGTGGTTTTTGTATGATGGACAGCAGTGGAACAAGAAGAGACAATGGCTGAAAATTTTGGTGACAGATAAGAATGAAGGAAGAGTCCTCAATTTTGTGGATAAAGTGCAGGTCTCAGGTGACTGTTTTGAGTGAGGTTTGCAGCTCTCCCAAAGACTTCCGGGATGAGGCTGGCAAATCACCGAGGCATCAATTTTCAAAATTCTTCATTTAGACAGCCTTGAAACAAATGGCTGATATAGGTGGGATCAGCCACTCAGAATAGCTTGCTCCAACTGTCTCAAATGAACCCCTGAAACTGAGGTAGTGTCTGATGCATGAACAGTTAATGGTGTCAAGTAGAAGCTCTGTTACTTGTGTTTTCGCATCTTCAGCCTGGATGCATCTTCAGGTAAATAAATCTGAGTCAACAAACACTACTGAGACTGTGTTCACCTTCTCTTACTGTAGCATCTTTCTACTTGGCCCCTTTCACTTTATATGGCCTTCCTTCCTTAGAAATATCTGTTGAGCCCCCAAAGAGGCAGCTTTTGGTGGCTATCCTTCCCTGGTAACCTCTTCCTCCTGCCTGCAACATCATTGTAGAGAGGCTGATAGATATTATGCAGGGCTAAGTGGGGCTCCTCTTGGTCTGCTGTGATCTTGCAACCTCTTTGTCTTCTGTGCCGACTTGTAATCTGACTGTGGTATCCTTACTGATACAGGCAGTCCTAACTGGTAGAATTGCAACTAAAAGAGCAACTTGCATTTGTAAAGCTCACATACAGGAGTGAGAATGGGCCAGCCTAGGCCCTTAAAAATCTGCTACCCATATGAACACCCAGAAGCGCAGCTCTGAGAGTCCCACTTCTGCTTTCCTTCAGCCCGTTCTATGGGTGATGTAACATATCTTACCATGGCCCAGGTGTCCTGGCTACAGTTCCAAAACACTGTATGACACACCGTATGAAGTGTAGGCAACAGTACAATGTGAGTCTTAAAAATCATTCATTTATTCATGGATTGCGTCCTGGGAAATGACTAGTTGCGTTGAGCTACAAAACTTGATGCATTGCAAAGGTGCGACATTATTTAGGAATGATCTTAAATTAAGTTCTTCAGGTTAAACAATGAATTAAATGCTGTTATGGATGATCCTATAAAGGTAATTAATTAAAATATTTTTCTTACGATATTGTCACTGAGAAAATCATTGGAATAGCAATAGGAACGTCTTAAGTGTTGAAAAGAAATTATTTTTCTACAAAGAGATCCATAATAAAAATGATACAAGAAAATGACTTGTTATGTATGTGATATACTATACTTTGAAAAGGATAAGATCTCCAGAAGAAAATAAAGCAATTTCAGAGGTTTATGTGGGATCACATGCTACCATCTCATTTCAGAAATGAGATTTTTCTCGTCTAGAACTGCCGTATGCTTCCTTCCTTGACAGAGAATGATTTGTCCATCAGTTTTAAATTTCAGCATACCAAAGGAATGAACAAAACAAATATTAAACTGACTCACTGTACTTCTTTTCTGGTTCATTACCACTTACACTTTTCTAATTTATGTGTAATATTTTTTAATTTTTCAGAAGGAATATAGCACAGTGACAAGCATGGTAAGTCAGCCTTGAAGAATTATATCTATAAAAAATCATTAGCATAACTTTTAAAGAAATTAAAAGAAGCATTGCTCCAACTGGGTAGAAATACAAATCAACATGTAGTGTGCAACTTTCTTTTGTGGGAAGAGACTACAGAAATTATTTCTTTTTAATTGGTAGGGAAGTGAAGCTGTCTAATGAATATAGCTGTTATTTAAAGATGACAGGCAAAAATGATGATAACCTTTCTGTGTAGAGCTGGGAAAAATATTGTCAGCAGTAAGCAAGCTTTTCTTGTGGAACAGAGGTGTTGGCTGTCAAGCTCTACTACTAGCCGCTATCGGGCAAAACAGTTTCCAAACTGAGACCACTGACGGTCCATGTGGTCATGATAATTGGTCATAGGCATATAGGGAACAATATAAAACAGTAAAACCCAAAATGTAGCCATTTAAAATTTTAATGTTAAACTGTGCATAATAGGCTGCAAGAAAATGTGAAGACTGGCAGAAGCCTATCAATTCAAAAGGTTGTGGAAAACCAGTCTGCAGTAATGCCAGGAAATTGATACAGAGTCTTAGATCTGCAAAATTAATAATAAACTCCAAAGCAATTTAATATCTCTTTATGGCAAAAGGAGATAAATATAAACCAAATATACAAAATATGTCATATTCAAATATACCAAATTTCTCCTTATAGATTTGCTTGGGATTGCTGACTAACTGTTAAGAAGGTAGGGAAGAGAAACAGGGTTTTACCGCCATGAAAGAGTCTCAGACCAGAAATGCTGGTGTCTTAAGTTTTTCTTGCTTATATTGATTTTTTTTTTAAGAGAGAGCTTCCGGAATTCCAAAACTTTGCCATCTGTGGCTGTTTGGTTTTGCTTTCAACAATCAACACTGCTAAATACCATTGGGTGAAGATCATGGGAGCCTTTTATTGTAGGCCAATGAAAGAGAGCCACAGGCTCTGTCTAAAAATAGATTAAGAGTATAGACTTTCTCTTTGTAAATGAAAACATTATCTAATAAGAGAGTGCTGCTAAGACTGAAAAATACAAACAGCTGACTTTCATCCCTAGGGGGGCACATGCCTTTCCTCAGCTCCCACGTCTTCAAGGGAAGCGTGCATGGCGCAGTACAAAGCACATCTTTGAGATCCCCTGGCCGCCTTCCTGGAAGGATCCTCTCAGATGCCCAGGCCTGCGCAGAGCACGAGGAGGGGATGCAGGTACCATGTCCTCCCTCCTTCCATCTTTGAGCTGGAGGTGAGAGCTAATGGTCTTCCAGTGCCCACAGATAGGCAAAAGGAATAAGAGGGCATTGTATAGTCTCTAACCCTCCTTTTACGCCTGCAAGAAGATCAAGCACAATTTGGTCCCAAACAGTGAAGATTGTTGCTTTCAAACTGCAACAGAGAGTGTTAAGAAAGGTTGTGCAATAAATGCTTTTAGTAATCTCCAGGGTGACTCCGGCTAGCAGTCAGACTGCCTCTGGGGATTGGGAAGAAATACATGCCAAAGCAAGAGCCCTGCTGCCATTCAGCCAGGTTCGATGCCGCAAATACTGTAAATTAATTTAGCTCAGTTAATGACTGCTTAGCTCAGTTAATGACTGTTTTTTCAGGGTCATCTCTATTTACACTTCTTAAAGGAGTTTTGAGGGATATTTTGTCCAAGAAAGGTCAGCAAGTGTCTTTCTAAACATGTTTCCTTAGCAAAAATGTTTACAGCTTGCACTGGAATACTTTCCAGGGATGTCTGTCCTTTGATAAATCTCCAATATCTCCGTAAACACAAGCCCTATTACTCATTCTTTCTTCTTTTTTGAGAGCCAGTCATTTTTTTCTCTCATGCCTAAAATGTTCATCATCTCTCTCTGTTTTGAAATCAGCTTTGAATTCGCTGTGTTCAGCAGCTGTTTTTACTGGGGAGAAAAAAGAGTGACTTTTTAAAATTATATTGATGACGCCTTGAGAAAGAGCTTTCATGTTTTTCAAAGGTGGCTGTCACAGCAGTATTGCAGTCATCCAGAGTTCCTTTTGAATATTTTTCTAAGCTAAATATAGGCATTTTACTAAATAGTTGACCTCATGATTATATCTAAGTGGAAATTCTTGTTTTAAATAACTTGATGCCTTTGAGAAATTTGTCTCTTTGGCCTTTTTGTCTCCGCTGGACAATGAGTGAAATCCTAGCACCATATAAAATGTGGGAATGTTGCCAGTGCTTTCAATGAGGCCAGAGTTAGTTAGGGACTATGTCATCATTTTATATTTACCATACATCTTTTCTGGCTATCCTGCCCTGGGTATGGCTTGGCTATTGCAATATATTTTAAGCTGTAATTGTAAAACATATACAACTTGTCCTTTAAATTTGTATGTATAACAAAAAGATTAAGAACAGAGAAGTAAAGCAACCCAACCACTTGTTTGTGGCACCGAAAGATTTCAGTATATAGTTCTTATACTTCATGCAATTTACATTTGTCATGTCATCATTTTGGCTTTAAGTATTAAGTTATTTACAAATATGACTCACTGGAATGCAAGTAATCAATTTCTCTATTTTTATATCATCATGGCTCAGCACTTTGGGATTGTGTATCCTAATGGAACAGTAATTGTATTTCTCCTTAAGCATACAGCATAAGAGGGCATACAGAAATCTCAGCTGCGTCAAAACCAGTACAAATCTAACTAACCTGATTACAGATGGAATTTGGTGGTTTTTTGTCCCCTAGTTGAGGATTTGTTGCCATCTCCTCGAGCAGAGTTGTGAGAAAGAGAAATGATTCTATAATATTGGCAAAAGACTGCAATAGGTATTTTTATGAGAATATCCTGGGGCACATACAGGTGTATCCTTATATCTTCCTTCTATCCAGGCCCTTGAAACTATTCCTGATCCCTTTTTAAGGGATCACAGAATCACAGAATCACAGAATCGTTTAGGTTGGATGGGACCTCTGGAGATCATCTAGTCCAACCTCCCTGCTCAAGCAGGGTCCTCTAGAGCAGATTGCCCAGGATCACATCCAGACGGGTTTTGAATATCTCCAGCGAAGGAGACTCCACTACCTCTCTGGGCAACCTGTTCCAATGCTCTGTCACCCTCACAGGGAAGAAGTTTTTTCTCAGGTTCAGATGGAACTTCCTGTGGTTCAGTTTCTGCCCATTGCCTCTTGTCCTGTTGCTGGGCACCACGGAGAAGAGGCT